AAATCCCCGCGACGGAGTGAGCTCCTGTTGCTCGGTCCCTGCTCCTGCCAACCTAGCAGTTCGAAAGCACGTCAAAGTGCAAGTAGATAAATAGGGACCGCTCTGGCGGGAAGGTAAACGGCGTTTCCGTGCGCTGCTCCGGTTCGCCAGAAGCGGCTTAGTCATGCCAGCCACATGACCCGGAAGCTGTATGCCGGCTCCCTCGGCCAATAAAGCAAGATGAGCACCGCAACCCCAGAGTCGGTCACAACTGGACCTAATGGTCAGGGGTCCCTTTACCTTACCTATAGATGGTCTGGCTCAGGTTAAGACCGCTTCCTATGTTCCCACACTAAAACCCGGACATCCACAAACAGCATTGCCATGATATGAGGTTGAACTCTAAGGGGGAAATGGCTTCCATTAAGGACAGGCATAAGCCACAAAGCCAGATTTAAAGGGCAGGACTCCCTTGTTGTTGGCATCTATCTGTCTCAAGAGACAAACACACTTCCGCCATTCGGAGGAGGTGGAGTTGCGGGCTTCATGGCTCCAGCACCCGCACGATTGGGGGATTCCTGGCCAGCCAATCGGCTGGTTCTGGGGGTGTGGTCTGCCTTATTTAAAGCAGGACACGGCCGGGGATCTCCCTCTTTGCCGCCTGCCAGCTGTTCCTGCTTTCCCCACCCTTTAAGGTTTTTGTTCCTTGACCTTGCTATGGACCTTGGTTGGTCACTGTTGAAGGGCCTGGTAGGAATTTTTCCACTTGGCAAATTGGCACCAGCCACTTGGTTTTCACCTACCTCATGGCAAATCGTCACAACTTCCTTGGTATGGGCGGTTAGGCATTGGTATTGCTCTGAGATGGAAGACAGGAGGTAACGCCATCACCTGCCCCGCATATTGAAGGGTAGTCCGATAAAAGATTCGGGGAGGTGTGACCCTGTCCAAAGCCTATGGAGGTGAGGGCCTAAGGCACACCCCCTATTGGTGACCCCGGGGGAGCTCCTAGTTGATGTGCATCAGCAGGACTCCCCCTACTGGTGGTTAACCCTTCCCGGACTTCTAGCAGACGGCTGAAGTCAGATATAGTCGGTTAGGACCAATGCCTAAGCCAATACTGCTCATCATCTGTAACCAATAAAGTTGTGGCCTTATTTAGCCCATTAACCTTAATAATTGTGTCATGTGTCATTATTTCCACTGGGAGCGGGGGCGGGAACTCGCCACGCAATGGAGTCAAACCGTTGCATTAGCAACACCCAAGTGACCTCCCTGGGGCGCAAGCCTGGGCAGCGTGTATGGAGGTCCTCGTCTGCCCAGAGGATGAGATCCTGCTCTCAGCCTCACGGATGTGGTCCAAAGGAAGGCAGAGCAATATGAAAACAGAAAAAGGTTGAAAAGGGCTGACCTAAGCATTCAAGGAAGAATCAACATGTAATAATACCCTACTCTGTGCCCCTGTCTTCTTCAGCAAGAACAGGTGGTTCCACAGGAGGAAACTTTCAATAATCTCAATATTCTGTGATAGATTCCATGACAGTAAAACCAGTTCCCAGCTTGAACATATGCTATAATACTGTGGATCAGAGTAGGTGTGTAGGTGTGTTGGTGTGTTGCGCAGAGTAGGTGTGTAGGTGTGTTGCGCAAACGCTCGCCGTGCTCCTCCTGGGACTGGAAAGGGGTTAGTTTAACATCTGGTTTGCTAGTAAAACTGAATTGCATCGTGAAAAGATGCAAAACTGAATTACTGCTTCGCGAAATGACGCACATCTAAAAAATGTGTCACCATCATGAACAGTTTGGAAAGCTCTGCTGTAGATGGATTCAGCTGCAAAAAAGTTACACTTTCCTCTGTCAATAGCAGAGGAGAACAAAGTGTGGCCCCAAAGATAAGCAGGGGTTAGTTGGCTGAGAAATTAGACACTTTCTTATTCCTTTCAGATCAGTTGTCAATAATCCTTCTAGTTCATACACTTATTTGTGGGCAATTTCCAGACACTATGAAATTATTTTCTCTTTTATCCCTATTAGGTTTACCAAGACCAAATTCTTATGGCACATGGTTACATATTTACTTTCTATTGAAGTACAACAGAAAGAAAACCCATTAGCACTGTAATAATATTTTTAGAGGCCATAATTATTCTTTTATGAGTAAACTTCTGTTCAGGTTGTCTGATGCTAACTATCTGTATTAGTGTTAAGAAGATCATTTTATCCATATAATATTAATATGGCAATATAACAAACAGCAAAGCCCGGATCATTAGCCTTCTTTGCTGTTAGAGTATCTGCAGCATTTCACACTAAACTAATTTTTTTATTGAAATAACAGTCCGATTGCACAGTTCATAGCTGTTGAGAAAAAAAGCCACATATAAAAATCTCTACAATCTTAATGGCTTTCCTGGCTAACCAATTATTTACTTAAATTATTCATGGATAAAACAATAAATTTTGCAATAGCATTGCAGTAATTCTAGGAAACACTGTTCTCCGTGAAGCTGACTATTAGGAGCACTGAAGACGATGTCACTTAAACCTCTCCAAGTTCACTTATAGTTATCTTTTGATCATTAGTTAAATTTTAAATATTCAAATGGTAAGATAACTTTGCAACAAAATGAATGCTTTAAATACTACATACTATTCTCAAATACCGAAGGACGCGGGTGGCGCTGTGGGTTAAACCACAGAGGCTAGGACTTGCCGATCAGAAGGTCGGCGTTTCTAATCCCTGCGACGGGGTAAGCTCCCGTTGCTCGGTCCCATCTCCTGCCCACCTAGCAGTTCAAAAGCACGTCAAAGTGCAAGTAGATAAATAGGTACCGCTCCGGTGGGAAGGTAAACGGCGTTTCCGTGCGCTGCTCTGGTTCGCCAGAAGTGGCTTAGTCATGCTGGCCACATGACCCAGAAGCTGTACGCCGGCTCCCTCGGCCAATAAAGCGAGATGAGCACCACAACCCCTGAGTCGGTCACGACTGGACCTAATGGTCAGGGGTCCCTTTACCTTTACCTTTTATTCTCAAGTACCAGTTTGTGTCAGGAGCTGGAGTCAGCAATAAAACAATACGCCTTCCCACTGCTCTCTAAGACTCCTTGCCTGCTTCTTTCCCCAGCAGCCTAAGGCTTTGTCCATGACAGTTTGCCTATAAAAGCCGATTTCAAGTGGAATATGACTGATAGAATCACAGAACATGGAATACATAAAAATGTATGACTGGAAGGGATCCCGAGGGTCATCTAGCCCAACCCCTTGCAATGCAGGAATCTCAACTAAAGCATCCATGACAGATGGCCATCCAACCTCTGCTTAAGGACCTCCAAGGAAGGAGATTCTACAACTTCCCGAGGGAGACCTTTCCACTGTTGAACAGCTCTTACTGTCAGAATGTTCTTCCTGATTCTTAGTCGGAATCTCCTTTCTTGTAACTTGAAGCCATTGGTTCGAGTCCTACCCTAGCCTGATCCATCTTGGGTGCTATTGCCAACCAACTAGGGATGCGGTGGCGCTGTGGTCTAAGCCACTGAGCCTCTTGGGCTTGCCGATCAGAAGGTTGGCGGTTCGAATCCCCGCGATGGCATGAGCTCCTGTTGCTCTGTCCCAGCTTTCTGCCAACCTAGCAGTTTGAAAGCACACCAGCGCAAGTAGATAAATAGGTACTGCTGCGGTGGGAAGGTAAACGGAGTTTCCGTGCGCTCTGGCTTCCATTACGGTGTTCATTTGCGCCAGAAGCGATTTAGTCATGCTGGCCACATGACCCAGAAAGCTGTCTGTGGACAAACGCCGGCTCCCTCAGCCTGAAAGCGCCACAACCCCATATTCGCCTTTGACTGGACTTAACTGTCCAGGGGTCCTTTACCTTTACCAACTGTACTTCTGCCTTGTCTGGATTAAATTTATGCAACCTGATGGATCACAGATCTTTTTTCAACCATAACTAGATAACACAGAGGACACGAAGCTGGGTGCTCTCACTTTCTGATGTTAGGCAGGTGGGTGATGCCTTCTACAGGGACACTAATAGTTGACAAATTTTGCATCAGACTGTTGTGAGAAGTCTTTATTTATCGATCTCTGCCTTTTACAATATTGGTTTATTGTTAGATTAAGTGTGTGTGTGTGTATTCTGCCTTTCAGCTCTTAATGATTTTTGTTACTCATTGGAGGGGCATTTAGGTGGACTGTTTAACTTCTGTTTTTGAGATGCTCCCCTGGATGTTCTAAAACTGAAGAGCAAGATATTAAACATGCTAAAACAAACAGTAAGAGGGAGAGGCAATGCATACAAATAAGGTTCGCTTCTCATACAGAATGTTTGGGACTGCAGTTTAAGAGTTAACCACACTGTAGTAAACAAAACCGCATACAAACATTTCCATGCAGTTAATGCTATTATAAAGACAGTTCATCACAAAATGCAGTTGAATATGATCTGCTTTGTAACATATCCTCTGCTCAAGTATCTGGGAGAAGAGTTTAAAGCCAGCACTGCAAATAGATTAATAGTTACATAAGTCATAAAACTCTGATCTTTATTTCCTCTTAAGTATAGTTTATTAACAGATGGCATCACAGTAAATATAGATATATTATCTCCTTCCACTGCTGAAATGCCATTAAGAAGCATCTGGAGCTCACATGAAATCATCCCTCCTCCAGCCAGCTATGGAGCCCTTGAAACAGCCACACATAAATGTAAAAGGGACAGCCGTAAACATTCTGAGTTCTGCTCCCATCAATCCAAAATGGGCCAATGAAGTAGATAATTTATATTAACTGGCAATGCCAGCATGCTTAAAATCTGAATGGGGAAGCTAATATAGTCACTAAATCTATCAAATTGCTTATAAGTTACCCAATGCAGGGCTTTTAATTGAAATTTTTAGGGCACCAATTAGGTTGCCTGAAATTCTTAGCGTCAATTTCAACAGCACTACAGCCAGCATCCGTCTAAATTCTCCCTGATTTGTCACACATATCTCTTGTATTTAGCTATTTAATTCTTTTTTTATTGCTCCTATGTCACGCCTATCATCCTTGGTTTTTCTGTGTGTGCTACTACCCTCCCACATTTTGTATCCTGCTTTTCCAACAACAAATTTTGAGCTCAAAGCGGCTCACAATGATCACAACAGCATTAAAAATAACCATTGCAATGACTATAATATCAAACGCAACAGCATATAAAGCAAACAGCAACCAATTCATCACAAGCAATTAATTCAATTCAATAAAGATATATATTTGTCTATATCAAGGTTTACCAAACTTGGGTCTCCAGCTGTTTTTTGACTACAACTCCCATCATTCCTAGCTAGCAGGACCAGTGGTCAGGGATGATGGGAATTGTAATCCAAAAACAGCTGGAAACTCAAGTTTGGGAAACCCTGGTCTATACCAAGGATGGGGTACCATGCCATCTCTTCTATGAGAGCTGTTAGTGCAGTAGCTTGACTATCTACTTAACTTGAATTTACTGGACAAATTCCAAAAGCATATAATTATTTGTACTCAGACAAAAAAAACCCCAACACATTATGTGGTATGACCTTTCACAAAACCCATGCAATAAATTCTGCACTCATTTAGCATTGTAGGGTTTTCTCTGTTTCTATTTTCATAAGCCAGCAGTTATGATGGATAAGCTGTTGCCCTAATACAGGTGCAAGTGAGTATTAAATTACATTTTAAGACCCATTTTGTTCACTACAATGCCAGAGCTTATCCTATCATTATATTTGATGTATAGATGGTTGCCAGAATTTTAAAACCAAAATAGGGAGGCGATGAATGACCTGTTTTTGTTCCTTCAGCATTCACGAGGAGGAGAAGAAATTAGTACTATTTGCATTATAATATCTGCATGCCACTAGGAAATGGCCTGGTTTGCACATCACATTAAACCCGAAAGCATACAGGCTCTGAGAGTGGAGATCACAGCTTCTTGGCTGCAAGTCTGGCTTAGCTTGATATGTGAACCTGAACTTGTGATTTAGCACTCCTGGACAAACTGCAAATTATAATCCATAGGATTCTTCCCCTGCCAAAAGCTGCAGTTACTATTTCCCAGAGTTATAAGAGAACATTGTACAGACCCATAATGACTGGTATTTTGCTAGACACCAATACATCTTACTATAAAATGGTAATTATCACCCATCATTACAATTCTTGGCCAAATAGGATGGAATATGGATGTATAAAATAGATATTAAAGGCCCCATATCGCCATTATCACTCTTTTACACAGGCAAGTCCCTGCAGACCTGAGTTGCAATGGTTAATTAATAAGAGAACTACTATAAGAGGCAAATGTATAAATCCGACAGATGTTCCAATTTGCTATGCAAATTCTCCCTGAGTGTCTCGCTAGCAGGAGAATATCCTTACATATTCCAAAACCTGGAGCTTGAAGGAAGATCAGAGAAAATCAGCATATCATTTCGCCCAGCAAGGCAGGGGGGGGAAAAGTTAGAATTTGCTGAGGGAAGGGGGGGAAATGAAAACGTGTTTCATCTCCTCCGGTTCTCATTGCCAAAAATAATTTTATGTGAAAAAGTTGAAAATTAAAAATAAAAAAGGTATTGACATTGTGCGAGGGTTATTCTGGCTGAGTGCTTTAGTAATGTGCCAAGCTGACAGTGTCCTTTTATTAAATGAAGGAGTGCACCCTAAAGGCTGATAGAGCATGGCTGCTAATTTTAAATGGCTCAGGCTTGCAACTGGATCAGTAAATTCCAACGGGGGATGAATAAGCAGGGTAGGTGGTTCTTTTTCAGAGAGAAGTAAAACGAAAATAGAAAGCTCTTTTTATAGCAAGAGGGAGCCTCGGGGAGATCTCGGCGCATCTTTCAACTGCTGAAACACACTATATATTTTTTTTAATTAAGAGACCTGAGAGACAGGCATTTTAATTACTTTTCAGCTTATTTTCACAGAAACAAAGCAGAGTGCATGCGGAGAGGGAATCTACACAAAAATGAATTATAGATGGGCTGGCTGTGGCAAATGGGTTTTCCAGCATACTGATCTTTGTCAAAATCCGGCGACTTCAACCAGCCTAATCTACTCTCCCTTTTCAGATGGCACGGACAGAAACCAGATGATGCCAAAACAGTATCAGATTGCAACCTATGGCTCAGATTTTTTTGGGGGGGGGGGACACCAGTTAAATCCCAATTGTCCAGTTCAAATGTTAGAGCAGGGGGAGTCATTTATAAGTACCCTTCAGATGTTTTGGATGTCTCAGCCAGCATGGTCAATGATAAGAGATATGGGGAATTGCAATCCACAACATCTGGAGGTCCCCATGTTGGCTTCATTTGTCCTAGATCAAGGAGGGTTCTCAAAATCTCTACCTCCAGGGCCCACTTATGAAGGCAGAAAATTACTGAGGCCCAACAATCTAAATCTTCCAAAAGCTCCCTGCTTCAAGGTACCATGGAAATACCCACTTCAGCTCCAGCAAGTCCCGAATCTGTCCAAAGCTGCCCCACTTCATAGAATTATTGTTGTTGTTTGTTGTTTAGTTGTTTAGTCCTGTCCGACTCTTCGTGACCCCATGGACCAGAGCATGCCAGGCACTCCTGTCTTCCACTGCCTCCCACAGTTTGGTCAAACTCATGCTGGTAGCTTCGAGAACATTGTCCAACCATCTCGTCCTCTGTCGTCCCCTTCTCCTTGTGCCCTCATTCTTTCCCAACATCAGGGTCTTTTCCAGGGAGTCGAGTCTTCTCATGAGGTGGCCAAAGTATTGGGGCCTCAGCTTCACGATCTGTCCTTCCAGGGAGCACTCAGGGCTGATTTCCTTAAGAATGGATACGTTTGATCTTCCTGCAGTCCATGGGACTCTCAAGAGTCTCCTCCAGCACTATAATTCAAAAGCATCAATTCTTTGGTGATCAGCCTTCTTTATGGTCCAGCTCTCGCTTCCATACATCACTACTGGGAAAACCATGGCTTTAACTATACGGACCTTTGTTGGCGATGTCTCTGCTTTTAAATTCATAGAATTAGAATTCTAGAATTACTGAATTGGAAGGGACCCTGAAGATCATCTACTTCAACCCCCTACAATGCACAAATATGCAGCTGTCCCTACAGGGATCGAACCTGCAAACTTGGCGTTAACAGTACCACGTCCTAACCAACTGAGATATTCCGCTGTAACTTCAGTTCTTGACTGGGGATTCATGCGAATCTTTTGCATACCACTAATAATTATACACAAACATTGCTATGGTGAAGGTCTGCTTGTGAACAATATTGTACTAAAAAATACAAATGGGATTCTACAAAACAGACATCCACGTTTAATTAATTTGTTTACTGTCTAGTAACAGTGCACTCCTATTTTCTAAAATCATGTAAGCGTTTGTATGCAGCACTGATAGCCGAAACAACCAATCATTACTGCAAAAAATTCGAAGCACAAGGCACACGTCATTCTTAATTGTGATCTGCTGTTTTCTGGAACAGAATAATATTTCAGTCACTAAAACTTGCTATGGTCTGCTGGTGTGCAAGGTAAATTATATTGTTCTTGTAAATTAGAGTTTGAAAAGGGCATACCAGGGAACTGACAGTCTTACAAGACAATGTTTTTTAATTACACTTCACATCAATAAATGTCACTGGAATCAAATGAATTGAATTCAAGCTCAGTTTGATTTTCACAACTCGATAAGGAAATTGATAAGCATCCCTCAGAAAGATCCAGGAAGTCTTTGTAGCTTCATAAATTTAAAAGTAAGACATTAATTTAAACTACTTACCAACAACAGTGTGTACAGTTTGACATGCTTGAAAGCCTAATACGCACACAAGGCATATACTAAAGAATTTGGAAGCATGCTTATAAATTAACATTCTGCAATATATGTAGAAATGTTGGGAAGACCACCTCCTACAATCAATAGTCATGCTTGCAGAATCCGTACCATTGCCTACAGCTATGTAAAGGGCACTGTTGGAATAATAAAAAATTGCATACTCTCATTTCTAGGGAAGAGGTTTCTGCTTCTTTAATATGATTGTGCTTTTGCCACTCTGCCACCCTGCAGGAACTTCAGCTGAAGCCCTCTTTCCCCATTCTTTCGAGTCAAATTTCTAACTATCAAGATGTTTTCTTTCAGACACACAATGTAAGCAAGATGGAAAGACAATATAGGATACCACAACTACTCTAGGGCAACCATTCCCATTTCCCCTCCACATCTGCCCCTTGGCAGGCCCTCACTTTAATATAGTGCAACCACCTCACAGTACATCAATTATACGAATTTCTACAAACTACCCCCGATTATCTAGTGGGTGACTTGTGTGAGGGAAAACTTAATGATTTGGAGTCTCAGGCGGGATTTGTTCAAACAAACCAGAAAGGTTTTATCAAACAAAGAAAGTTTATGACACAAAGTGGGTAAAACAAAGGATACTTCAGGTTATAATGTTATTTCAGGTAACCATTCACCTAATAATATTTATACTAAATCTAACTGATGTTATGGACTTCTAATCATGCACAGCTTCCTTTAAACTTCAGTTGCTTATGTTCAGTTACTTCGCTTCAGGTAGATGTCGCAGGATCTGACTGTAGCCTATTGCTTTGCAATAAACAACACTGGACTTCCAACTCACGTTTCTGAGTTTTATTGGCATAAACTCAGGAGATAAGCTATTTCTTTTATTTTTGTATAAGAACTACAGTGGTACCTCTGGTTATGTACTTAATTCGTTCTGGAGGTCCGTTCTTAACCTGAAACTGTTCTTAACCTGAGGTACCACTTTAGCTAATGGGGCCTCCCGCTGCTGCCGCGCTGCCACCACACGATTTCTGTTCTCATCCTGAAGCAAAGTTCTTAACCCAAGGTACTCTTTCTGGGTTAGCGGAGTCTGTAAGCTGAAGCGTATGTAACCTGAAGCGTATGTAACCCGAGGTACCACTGTAATATGAAAGAGGCCTCCCAGCATTCTCACAGGCCCATATAAGATCAGCGTAAACAGTTGGGCTAATGAGCACTTACTGTTCCCAACCCTAACCCCAACTAATTAGACTTTGATTTGATTTTGGCCTATTTTTAGGAGGTAATTTAATTCTTTAATTATTGTTTGATTTTATACCTATGTTATATATCTGATGTTAGCTGCCCTGAGCCCAACTTCGGCCAGGGAGGGCGGGATATAAATAAAAGTTGTTGTTGTTGTTGTTGTTAGCTTACAACACTCTCACGGGACACCACACACTGTCCTTCACCTTAAGCTCAGAGGCTCCTTTCTGTAGCTGTTAATATATTCCTCAGAGTGGATGTTTCCACGACCCAATTGGGAACCCTGGGGGAGCTCTAGTAGATGTACCGGTACATCAACAGGGCTCCCCCTACTCATGGTTGACCCTTACTAGACTACCTGCACGGCGGCCAGGAGTCAGACAGTCGGTTCAGTTCCAATGCCTAAGCCAATACCACTCACATTCTGCAGCCAATGAAGTTGTGACCTTAATTATCCCATTAACCTAAATACAGTCATACCTCATGTTGCGTTAGGTTCACATTGCATCTTTTCGGCTTGTGAGCGCAGCAAACCCAGAAGTGCATACTTCTGGGTTTCACCGCGCGCGCATGCAGAAGTGTTCTGCGCACTTCACGCATGCGCAGAAGTATTCTATCACGCTCCGCGCTTGCAGAGAAGTGCTGCTCTAGTTGCGGACTTTTTGGGATGCAAACAGCACCCCGTAACAAATCATGTCCACTGTACTGTACCACTGTACCACTGTACTGCTGTCCGTGTGTTTCATTATTCACAAAGGGGGGGGGGGTCTTGCCATGCAAATATTTCTTTAACTTGGTTTAGGGCTTCTTTGCCATGCCAAAGGCTGGGGGTCTTGCCATGCAAATATTTCTTTAACTTGGTTAGGGCTTCTAATTGGCAGGCAAACCTGAGAACGATACACAACATGTCTTCACTGCCAGCTTCCTGACAATGTGCTCACACTGTGCTAAAATTAGCACTATCTGTGTACCTTCCGTTCATTATCAGTGACACAAATAATATACAAATTTAGCCCTTTTCCATGTCTATCCTCCCATTTGTCTCCCACTCATTTCTTCTGCTTTATACTTTTTAAAGAAATAATATGCACTGTAATCACCCCCCCCTTTCCTTTCCATCAATGTGAAACCGAACCGCTTTTTACGAGCCTGCTTTCATTCATCTACTAAGATCATCCTCTTTCTAAATTAGAGCACTGCTTCATTACTGAAGTAGATTACATTGAAGCGCTACAAATAATTTATCACCACTAACTGTAACAGAGAGTACATGTTTCTCGTCTAAAAAGAGTCATCTTTAGACCCATTTAAATCACTCCAAGGACAATGTTTCCGGGGGGAGGGAATGGTATTTAAATTTGTTGAATAAAATACTTAAATAAAACCACGGGCACACAAACATTCATGCTTGTGTAAGTATATGAAAGAACATCATGGAACACAATACTACCTTCTGATGCTGCTACAGATAATGCTTACCAAGAATAGAAATTTTGGCTAACATCTTTGGATTACTATAACGCAATCCATTTCAGTGCTAATATGAATCAATTCACGATTCCACATTTTCATGCAACTTTCAGTGTGGTGGTAGGATCAGGCTGATGCTCAATCAGCAGGCGCAACAGCATCCCAATGAATTTGCAAAAGTCAGTCTGGGCCAGGTTAGGAAGAAAGGGGTCCACAGTGCATTTTTTTTCTAGAAAAAGAGGTGCCGGATGTCACAATGAACACTTCCTTTGTTCTCTTATAATGACAATGGTGCCCACCTGAGAAGTTCTGGAACTGAGTTGCTTTGAGTTCTGGCTGGAAAAAAGCCCTGCCACCAGACATGTGAAAAGTTCCGAAGTTTTTTAAAGCAACAGATTGACCTAGCAGTTGGTAGGTCAGGGGAATCCTATGAACATAAAATGAGTTCAACAAGACTTTTTGACAAGGTCCCTCTATTATATTCCAGATTATGCTAATGCTAGGTGGACTGTAGCTAGTTGATGGACTGTAACCAATAAGCACTCATCAACATCTCATTATCAATCTGGAGAAGTGACAAGTGAGATGCAACAGGATTTTATCCTGGGCCCCATCTTTCTAAATCAAAGTATCATAGAATTGTAGAGTTGGAAGGACCCCAAGGGTCATCTAGCTCAATCCCCTGGGATGCAGGAATCTCAACTAAAGCATCCATGACGGATGGTCATCCAATCTCTGCTTAAAAACCTCCAAGGAAGGAGAGACCACCCCCCTCCAAGGGAGTCCGTTCCACTGCTGAACAGCTCTTACTGTCAGAATATTGTCCCTGATGTTTAGTTGAAATATCCTTTCTTGTTACTTGAAGCCACTGTTAATACTCTCTACAGCAGCAGAAAACAAGTTTGCTCCCTCTTATAGATATTTGAAGATAATAATAATAATTTTATTTATACCCTGCCCTCCCCAGCCAAGGCCGGGCTCAGAGTGGCTTACAAGCAATAATAAAAACAAGTTGAATGATTACCAACTTAAAAACAAAATTAAAATACAACATTAAAATATTGAAACATTAAAATATTAAAATGCAGCCTCATCGCAGGAGGAGAAGGAAAGGAAAAAAGAAAGAGAGGGAGGGAATCAAATTGGCTCCAAGCCAAAGGCCAAGCGGAACAACTCTGTTTTACAGACCCTGCGGAAAGAAATCAGATCCTGCAGGGCCCTGGTCTCATGAGGCAGAGCGTTCCACCAGGCCGGAGCCAGAGTTGAAAAGGCCCTGGCTCTGGTTGAAGCCAATCTAACTTCCTTAGGGCCCGGGACCACTAGGGTGTTGCTATTTATGGACCTTGAGGCTCTCCGTGGGGCATACCGGGAAAGGAGGTCCTGTAGGTACGAGGGTCCTAGGCCGGGAAAGGCTTTAAAAGTCAAAAGCAGCACCTTAAATCTGACCCTGTACTCTACCGGGAGCCAGTGCAGCTGGAAAAGCACTGGGTGAATATGCTCCCATGGCAGAGACCCTGTGTGGAGTCTTGCTGCAGCATTCTGCACCCACTGGAGTTTCTGGGACAGCTTCAAGGGCAGCCCCGCGTAGAGCGAATTACAGTAGTCAAACCTGGAGATGACCGTCGCATGGATCACTGTGGCCATGATATCTAGTGGTGAAGCTGCATGCTCTGCTACCGGGGGCAAGAGCAGGTGGGGGCGTGGCGCGCGTTCTGGGGGCGTGGTGCGTCACTTGTGGGGCCATGGTACCTGTTGCGCGCCCAGGGAGGGCGCCACGATGGCACCCTACCAGAATAGTGGTGCCGGGGGTGGTCCGCTCCCTCCGCACTCCCGTTCCTCTGCCCGTGATCATAGCTCCCCTCTGACTTATCTCTCTGACTTCGACAAAGGAGTGGAGGAAAAAATATAAGGTTTGGGATGGAAGGTCTATCAGTGAGAGTTTGTGTATCTCTGAAAGCCCCTTTCTGAAAGCACCAGAAAAACGTGTTACTGAACATTTGGCCCATACCAAGAAATGAAATCTTTGCAGTTTTTACAATGTAAAAACAATGCAGGATTCATCATTGCTGACCTCATACAACCAAATAAACCAATCTTTTTTGCAGCCCAAACTGTGCTAGAACGGGCCTCTATCTTTCACAAGGTTTGAACTCTAAAGAGGCTGATCAAAGTCCCCCTCTCCCAGATTGAAAATGTGGAAGATGGCAAAAATCAGCCTCTGATCTAAGAATACACTAATATCTTTCCTGAAAGTCTGCAGGGGTTAACTTTATTTTATGTTGAGAACACCTGTAAAAGACAAAAATGAAACATGTACACAGACATTTACAATGGCCCCAAGGAACTGTGTTTCAACCACTGAGCAAACCGTCTGCATTTACAGGGAAATAAGGCTCTAACTTCCTACATCCAAGTGGCACAATCAATTTGCAATAGGCTTCCATTGCAGGAGCTCTTGCTGTGCCATAAAGGTCTTCTGAGCTGTTATTGGATATTTTACTTTTTATTAGAGATGCTAAGAGGCTTCACAATGAAAATGTGATTTTTCTATCTCGGTTCTCCATCAGCCAATAGGGTGCATGAATAGCAAAATTAACTATGAAACAGTACTTTCTGTCAACTTT